TTTCTTAGCTTCCCCCAAGTCTTTCATCTCAAACTCTTGATTCAACTGAGCCTTCAAATGATCAATCTCCACTTGGCTCTTTGATGCAACCAACATGTCATCTACATACAAGAGTAAGTAAATGAAAGATCCATCTTGCAGCTTGCGTAGATATACACAATGATCATGTCTGCTTCGTGTATACTTCTGCCCCATCATAAACTTATCAAACCGTTTGTACCACTGTCTCGGAGATTGCTTGAGTCCGTACAACGATTTATTCAACTTACTGATCCAATTCTCTTTTCCAAGAATTTTGAATCCTTCTGCCTGAGTCATGAAGATTTCCTCATCTAAATCTCCGTGTAAGAACGTCGTCTTCACGTCAAGTTGAGCTAGCTCCAAATCCAACTGTGCTGCTAAGGCCAACAAAATTCTAATGGAAGAGTGCTTAACAACTAGAGAAAACACTTCATTATAATCAACTCCTTCCTTTTGAGCGTAGCCTTTAGCCATCAATCTTGCCTTGTAGCGCACATCATTCTTATGAGAAAATCCATCTTTCTTTGCAAATACCCACTTGCATCCTAACACCCTCTTGCCTTTTGGTAGTTGCGTCACCTTCCAAGTCTGATTCTTCTAGAGAGACAACATCTCTTCTTCCATAGCCCTTTTCCACTTCTCATTTTCTAAACTACGAAGTGCATCTTGAAAAGTGAAAGGTATGTCATCATCGACAATTGGAAGTGCATAAGCCACCATATCCACCAATCGAGCAGGTAGTTGAACCTCTCGTCTGGGTTTTCTCAATGCAATGGGTAACTCTAATGATTCTTGAGTCTGTGCTTCATCATCCGACGAATCCTTTGATATTGGTTCGTCGATCATAGCTGATTGTCTCGTCATCGCATCTATCTTCACATGCTTCAGTGTCAACTCCACCTGTTGGGTTCGCGTCGTCTTTATCATACCTTGTTCATCAAATGTAACATCCCTGCTAAACACAGTTTTGTTCGTCTCAAGACACAAAAGATGATATCCCTTCACACCAATTGTGATTTCCTTGAACAAAGCCTTTTTTCACTCTTGGATCTAACTTTGAATCTTTCACATGATAGAACGTAGGACACCCAAAGACATGTAAAGATTCATAGTCAGCAACAAGTTTCCCTGACCATACCTCCAATGGTGTTTTACTATCTTTTGTAGATGACGACAATTGATTTATGAGATGTTGCGCGTATGTTACAGCCTCAGCCTAGTACTCCTTGCCCAAACCAGCATTGGACAACATACATCGAACTTTCTCCACCAATGTTCGATTCATGCGCTCCGCCACCCCATTTTGTTGTGGTGTCCGTCTAACGGTGAAGTGCCCAACAATGTCATTTTTCCAGCAAACTTCTTAAAAGGGATCACTTGTATATTCTTCACCATTGTCCATTCGTAGGACATTGATCTTCCTTCCAGTCTGATTATCAATTTGCATCTTCCATGTAATGAAGACACCAAGCACTTTATCCTTCGTCTTCATAGTGTACACCCAAACACGTCTGGAAAAGTCGTCGATGAAAGTGACAAAATAGCATCTTCCGAAGGTCCCCAAACATCCGAATGAACATAATCCAGGACACCTTCAGTATTATGGATAGTTGTTCCAAACTTCACTCTATTCTGCTTTCCCAAAACACAATGCTCACAAAAGTCTTGTTTGCACACTTTGACATCTTTCAACAATCCTTGTTTTGCCAATGTCTGTAAGGATTTTTCACCAGCATGTCCCAGCCGCATATGCCATAGCTTAACTGCTTCAGACTCCTTGTTGGTGGAATCTGCTACTGTTGCTATCCCAACAACTGTATCACCTTCATAGTAATACAAATTATTCCTCCTGATGCCTTTCATCACCACGAGCGAGCCGGATGTAGCCTTCATAACTCCATCTAGCAAAGTCACTACCAAGCCTTTGGATTCCAAGGCTCCTAATGAGATGAGGTTTTTCTTCAAACTCGGTTCGTACCGAACATCCGTCAAAACTCTGGTGGATCCATCGCGATTCTTCAGACAGATTGAACCTATCCCAGTTGTCTTACAAGCATTTCATTACCCATGTAGACAACCCCTCCATTGATCTCTTAAAAATTGAAGAACCACTCCCTAATGGGAGACATATGTAGGTGCATCCTGAATCCAAAATCCATTCGTCTGGATGAGATGATAAAGGTGAAACCACAAGTGAAAATTCTGAGTCTTCACTTCCACCTTCGGCAACATATGCATCTTGAGGAGTTTTTCCCTTCTTCTTCAACTTAGGATAGTCTTTCTTCCAGTGTCCCTCCTCATGGCAGAAAGCACACTCATCTTTTTCAAGCTTGGCCTTAGAACGTGATCTTCCTTGCCTATTCTTCTTTTGGCTCTTCGACCGACCTCTTGCAATCAACGCTTCATCTTCTGCTGCTGCATTCTTTGTCTCTTGTTTGTTCTTCTTCCTCAACTCATAGTTATACAGAGCAGAACTGACCACTGCAAGAGTTACATCGTCCTTCCCATGGAGCAGAGTAGTCTCCAAGTGCTCGAAGTCATTCGGAAGTGACGATAACAACATTAGAGCCAAATCTTCATCGCTGAATGTGACGTCCAAGTTCAACAAATCTGCAACCAACTGATTGAATGCAGTGACATGGTCATTCATCGATGTGCCATGTTGGTACTCAAATCGGAACAATAGTTTCTTCATGAGGAGCTTATTCTGCCCGCTTTTCTTCAGAAATTTATCCTTCAAAGCCTTCCACAGAGTGTGAGCAGAGTTCTCATTCTTGAACGCGTTCTTCTGCTCCCTCGACAAACACGAACGGATTGTTCCACATGCTAAGCGGTTGATATTCTTCCAGTCCTTCTCTTCAACATCGGTTGGCTTCTCTTCTTCAAAGGCAGTGTCGACGCCTTGCTGAAATAGACAATCCAGCACCTCGCCTTGCCACATGCCGAAATGACCGGTCCCATCGAAGATCTCCACCGGGAGTCTGACGTTCGGCATCACCGTCCTTGCCGGAATGAATGCAGAGGATGATGCGCCTTTGACCTCCTTGGACATCTCGGACTCGAATGCAGTGCCCGCCTCTTCGAATGAGCCTAGGATGAACCTTCGGCTCTGATACCACTTGTTGGGGTAAAAAACCCAAGCGCAGCGGACAAAAATACCCCTCTAACAAATATGACAAGCACTACTCCAAAATAAAAAATAAGCCAACACAAACAAATAAAAGACGAGAAAGAAAAAGAACACAAAAATTGATAATGGAGTTCAGCCAAATTGCTTACCTCTTCGGGCACTGCCAACCGCAACGCCAAATTTACTAAACTCACCAACAAAATACAACTAGAGTTAAATAACCCACAAATTAGGATTTCCTTAATTAGGGATTTCCTTCTAATAGAGGAGAGAATATAATAATTTACAATTGTAACCCAAAGGCAAGTGACCTATTTATACTAATAAGATCCTACACATTTTTGGTATACATAGTCGTAGCCCAAATCGGGTACTTGACAGGTTGTTATTAAGTAATTCTAATTGCCGCATATTAGTATTTTTTTAATAAATATTTATGCTTTTATATTAAGATTATACTCTAAAGACATTGTATTCTGACATTATATTATATTATATGTTAAAGACATTATATTCTTACATTTTATTGTACAAATATAATTTTTATTTGAAAAACATAAAGGGTCCGATCTATCTATCTAATGATTAGCAAACCTAATAGCGTGTACTTAATGGTGGTCATGTAACATCAAGGCAACATACTTTGTACGCTGTAAATGTGAGATANACACTAAATCATTTTAGGATTAATTGCAACACTTATCTCTGGTGTGGCCGTATTAACCAATAGTAAAGTAATACTACAATGTTTTTCTCAAAAGAAAATATAAATATCCACCTAAAATTTGTTTTTAACTACGAAAACTGTTGTCTTTCAAGGTACTTGATAATAAACACTTGCCCCAAGAAGATATTTTTTACATTTTTATACTGTATTAATAATTTTTAGTTAGTAGCCTAAACTCTCGGGACACCTTTCGAATTGTACCATCACTTGATTTGATACTTGTTTTCCAACATTATATAGTGTAGGGATAGGACCATTGGCTTCCAAACATCCAATGACATTGAAAAGAAAAGGTTGAATAATTGGGAGCTAACCCATCACACTCATGTCTCCATCTCTATAAATGCCAAGTTGATAAATTTGCTTTCTCCAGCCCACAATACAAATTACAGAAAATAAAAAACCAAAAGAAGAAGAAGAAGAAGAAGAAGAAAAATGAGGCCCTCAATGAAATCTCTGGTTCTGGTTTTAGCAATTATAATTGGAATATCAGTTATGGCTCCAATAAGTGTGGAGAGTGCAATTGGGATTGACCTAAGTCTATGCACAGAGCCTGAATGCATTGCTGCATGTAAGAATTTACTGTTGACCAAATTTGCTAGTGCCAGCTGTGTAGTTGGACCTAAAGGCAAGTACTGTGTTTGTTTGGGTTGATGAGTTGAGATATAATAAGCTTGCTCTGCCTTTTCTTTTCTTCTTCTACTTATTGTGCCCATCCAACTGTAAGTATTTATACTTGGGTTTTTTAGGTGAAGCCCTGAAAGTAGATAATCTAATCTATTTGTGTATTGCATATATGATATAGTCCTTATATGTTAAGGTTTTATTATAAAGTTGTTGAGAGTTACTGTATAATAGATGATGCTTGAATAGTGGGAATTGGGCATGTTACTACTTACTACATTGTATTTGATTGGTAGGATGCTTGGAATATGGATTTATTATATTCTATTGCATTTGTTGAACAATTGGCATATAGAGAGAATATTTGATAAGTGAATGAGTTTATTCGCATCCAAAATTGTCTATATTTTTTCTAGTTAGCTACCTTTCAGCATTATTTCAGTTGNACCTATTGAACGGTAATTTTGACTTTCACAGGTAAAACACTGAGATTACAAAAAATATTCTACCATGTTCAAATCATGACCCGTCAAAATATCAATCTAACTTCATGAAAAATGAATAACAAACGAACAAACACAGATCCATTCATCCTAAATTTATTGTTCACACTCTTGAAAAGAAAATGAAATTACTATCACACTTCCTGTGAACAGAGCTAACAATATGTAAGAACACTACAAACAATCCTGAGTTCCTAAATAAAGGGATTTCAGTTATTTTGATTTTAACACCACCATGGGAAGAAAAAAAAAAAGATTTTAACACCACCATGGAAGTTTACAACAGGGCTGCTATTAGTAACAGAAACAACAAAAATGACTGAAAAATTCACTGAACAACATCCATTGAACAATTGGTTATGTCATTGTCATGCTCCTTTGATTTGGCAACATCAACTACCGTTTGCATGAAACTCATACGTTGTGCTAATAGAGACTCTTCCAGTTTCTCTAGTTGTCTGTACTCCTTTTCCATAATTAGCTCCATTTCTTCAAAATACTTCATCTTGCGCCGCAATTTCTTCAACTGCATTTCAATCGACCAATGATAATTGATAAATCGCCACAAAAGCATTTTTTTTCCCCAGGTTCTATTGTGACAAAGAACAGATAAATCTTGCGGGAGAATGGCAAATGGATGTACAGAAATATTGAATATACACGGACATGTTTTGTGAATTGGATAAATTTGAACAATTATAGATTTCATCTGAATATGGTTTATGAGAAATAGGTAAATTAACCTGGGATTCAATCATAGTAGCCACCAAATGTGCAATCTCTCTCTCCTCTTGATCGGCCAACAGCTTGGCATTTGCAGCAGCTGCACCAAGAGCTGTAGCAGATGCAGCTCTCATTCGCAAATTCAATGGTATTATATTATTGGCAGAGGATGTCTCCTGAATTTCTGAGGATAAAATAGCAATCAAATACTCTGTGTCCCCAAGAATAATACAAACA